AGCTTTTTAAAAATCATTTAATTGGAGGCTCATACAACTCTTATCACAATAAACACATAAATTCATCGTGTCAAGCACATTTGTACATTTGTTGCCCTCATCATTCTCAAAACATTTGCTTTCGACTTGAGCCCCTGGTATCAGCACCTTATTTTTCCCCTCCCTCCATCCCCACTGATAATTTATAAATCATTATTTTTCCATGTCTTACATTGACCGGTCTCCCCTCACCCACTTTTCTGTTGTCCATCCCCCAGGGAGGGAGTTATATGCAGATCTTTGTAATCGGTTCCCCCTTTCTACCCTACCTTCCCTCCACCCTTCCGGTATCACCACTTTCAGCACTGGACCTGAAGGGTTCATCTGTCCTGGATTCCCTGTGTTTCCATTTCCCATCTGTACCAATGTACATCCTCTGGTTCAGCTGGATTTGTAAGGTAGAATTGGGTTCATGATAGTGGGGTGGGGGGAGGGAGGAAACATTTAAGAACTAGAGGAAAACTGTATGTTTCATTGTTGCTATCCTCTCCCCTGACCGGCTCATCTCCTTCCCGAGACCCTTCTGTAAGGAGATGTCCAGTTGCCCACAGCCTTTAGGTCCCCACTCGGTACCCCCCCCACCCATTCACAATGATGTGATTTTTGTTCCTTGATGCCTGAAACCTGATCCCTTTGACACCGCTTGATCACAAATGCTGGTGTGCTTCTTACATGTGGGCTTTGATTCTTCTGTGCTAGATGGCCGCTTGTTTACTCTCAAGCCTTTGACCCCAGACGGTATATCTTTTGATAGCCCAGCAACTTCAGCTTTCTTCACCACACTTGCTTATGCCACCATTTGTCCTCAGTGATCATACCGGGAGCGTGAGTAGACAATGATGTGATTTTTCCTTCTTTGATGCCTGAAACCTGATCCCTGGCACCTTGTGGTCACAAAGGCTGGTGTGCTTCTTCAATGTGGGATTGTTTGCTTCTCAGCAAGATGGCCACTTGTTTGTCTTCAAGCCTTTTAAGATCCCAGATGCTATATCTTTTGATAGCTGGGCCCCCTCAGCTTTCTTCACCACATTTGCTTATGCACCCATTTGTCTTCAGCGCTCGTGTAGGGAAGGTTAGCATCATGGAATGCCAGTTTAATAGAACAAATTGTTCTTGCTTTGAGGGAGTGGGTAATACCTTTTAGTGTGTGCTGATGTTGAGGAAAGAAAGAAACTCTGTGAGCACCTAGAGTTAGTAATTTGCTATTTAATTCATCGCTATGAAGAGCAACCTGCACAATTCAATCCTGCCTCTTTGCAATGTTCTTTTCTCTCATGGCCCATCCAAAATGGTACCCAGATGTATTCTTGAATTTCATCAGTAGAGAGAGCAGGGTTTTCTGGCCTAGATAGGATCCCCAAGGTAAATGATCTAATCTAAATGTGACAATGGATGTATTTGTAAGGTTTTGAAAACAAATGGACTTAGCTTGTAAGACATTCATACGTTCAGGCATCCTAACAAGATATGCCTCTTGAGCACTTTCAACAATTAAGGTCATCTAAATATGTAAAGTTGAATATCAATAACAAAATATACTTTATTTTATGAATTTACTTTTTCCTAAAGAAGAATGTCAGATGAAATCTGAAGTTATGGTAAAGTTTATTCATAAATAAAATTTAAAAAGAAAAGAATATTTTTCAATGGTCCATTTTTTTAACATTTCAATAGGAAGACTGCTCTTGGTATAACTCAGCAAGTATCCCCACAGTTAGAGAAAATATATTTTTCTTTTATAAAGACTTATAGTAAGAAAGGCTAGGGGGAAAAAATAAAAGCACAAAAAGAAGGCTATTTACAAGTAGATTAAAAAGGTGAGGTCTTATGTCAGTAAACAAGAGAGTGTGATTGTTGGAGCCAGTTCATTATATGGGAGGATCCATGGGGAGTAGTAATATGTTGGCTCAGTCTGAGTGAAAGTGAGCCAGAGTTCAGGAACTTCGTGGAAGAAAATAAACTTAACAAAAGCCGGTTAACAAGAGGATTGTTTCTGATTGGGAATTGTGGAAAACAAATACAGTTACTTATTTATGACAAGAGGATGATATATGTATTATCCTGATAAATAAGCAACAATTTATGTGTCCTGAAATCCAGGTTTCTGGGGTCCATTAACTTGGAATGGCCCACGCAGGCCATTACCCCATGATCTCCTTTTGAACCTTGAGTTTTGAAAAAAATGGTTTCCAAAAGCTACCATGAAGTCAAGCAATAGGGTAGTACGTGGCTTAGTAAATATAATTTTGCCTTGGGCATTGGGTTCTTTTGTAGAATTATTGACCGGGAATCAGATTCTAGAAATAGAAGTTCTAAGGTCATACTGGAAGCTGTGTTTTAAAGTAGATTCGTATTAGGTATCCTAAAGCCAGTAGGCCAAAGCCACCAGCAGCTCCTCCTGGGAAGCATGAGTCTGTCTATTTCTGTGAAGATTTATAGCTTCAGAAACCCAAAGGGGTAGTTCTGTTCTTTGGATTTAAGCTGGTTTCTTATTATATAAATATGTTTCTGCCTCTTTTACATAGCAATGTGGATAAGATTAAGTAAAAGAATATTTTAAGGCATTTTTTAAATATTCTAGACACTGTGGTTGAAATATTACCCTGATTTGAAAATTGTATATTCAATAGACTTTGATCTAATTATATTATTGACTCAATATGCTTTTCATTTTAACATAAGTATTAATTCCCCTGAGTTTCATTGAAATGCAGCCAATGAAACATGGTCACCTGAACAACTGGTTTCCCTTGAAAGAATGGTTGAGTTAACACAATCTAGTAAAATAAATGCAGTAATATTCTTTGTGTTGTGAGAATTTCGGGGTAACAATGTGGGTTTCCTAGAGAAGTAAAAGCAAATATATATATATATATATAAAAAACCACTACACTATATGGCTGACATGCATGGCAGTTCCAAACCACCACCAGCAATTCCAGTGGAAAAGACTGGGATTTCTACTATTGTAAAAGGTTACAGTTTCAGGAAACCCACAGGGGTTCACTATAAGTCAGCAGTGACTCAATGGCAGTGAGCTGAGTTTCATATATATTTATATATATATATACACATACATACACATGTGGATATACATACACATACATATGTGTGGCATACATATAATTGTTGGTATATATGTGTGTATACATGTATACACATACATATATGGTATATATAAAATGGCTAACTCTTTCTTATGCAAGATATATGGTTGCATTTAAGGCCCACATGAAAAATTCAGCACAATCTCCTCATGTTAAGATGCTTAATAATAACTACAAAACCTTGTTTTTTTCTTTATAAGAAACATCTTACGGGCTTCAAAGGCCTTATGTTTTTTAATGATCATTATTGAGATTTCCATCAAATGTATGCAAATGAAAATTACTTTTAGAATGAAAACCACAATAGACCTTTATAGCAAGTGACTATCCTGAAGAAATATTAGCAAGAGTTAATATTTTTAAACATTTCTATATAGAAAATTGGTACTCGGCTCCTACTGAGGGCAAAGCAGGACAGAACAGTTTAGTTCATCAAATATTCCAAAGACAAAAAATCCTGTAGGCCTTAGAGGGAAAGAATACTGTTAACTCCATTTTTATCCTCCTTTAATATACAAACAGCATTTCTTAAAACAAATGAGTGTGAAAGTGAAATAATTTTTGCTTAAAGTTAAATAAAATTAACACAATAGAGCAACTTCTGAAAATAAGAGAATAAAGTCTGTACTTATTACGTTACAATTGGGAGGATCAATTAAATTCTTAAAACTATAAATAAATTAAATACCTAGTTTACATGGTTTAAAACAACAATTTATTTTATCTCATAACCCAAATTCCTCCATAATTCAATATTTTGATGATAGCATTCTTCTATATTACAACTCAAATTTTTTATGTTTACTTTTATTCAAGTCTGTCAGTCTGAGAAATCCTGAACATGTTCTTTCTTTCTGATTTTCTGTCTCCAGGTCTCCACACTCAAAACGAAAACAAAACAACTGTCATCTCGCTTATTCCAACACAGAGAAGCTAGAGAGACTTTCTATGAGAGTAAACCGTTACGAGAACAGATCTGCTCGTCTTATTTCAGAGTTGTTAAGAGTGGGTTAGAACCCCATCGTAATCCAGTAAAGTAAATGCAGTCATATTCTTTGTGCTGTGAGAGTTTCGGGGTAACAGTCCGGGTTCTGTTGCAATCTTTCTCTTGACAGCTCAACACCTAGTCATCAGTAGCAGCATATTTCCTGATAATACGTAATGTGTCTTCTTGATCAAGATCTTCATTAACATATTTGGTTTAGCTCATTACTTCACAATTTCATTTGCTTCAGCTACTTTACATTCAAGAGGAATTTTCAGTCTCCTCTGACACATAATGTTTATTTCTTGTCTTTTCACTGACCTTTTGCCTTCTTCCGGCATGATGTCTTTATGTTACCCCACAACTTACATGTTCTGTGGTCATTAATGTTTAATGACTCAATTCTATTTTTGAGATGGTCCCTAAATTCAGGTAAATTTATGAAACGTCTTACTTTGGCTCTTGTGGACTTGTTTCAATTTTCTTCATGTTCAACTTGAACTTAAAAATAAACAATTGATGATCTGTTTCACAGTCAGAGGCAGCCTTATTTTAATTATAGACATTGAACTTCCCCTTCATGTCTTTTCATAGATCTAATCAATTTTATTTGTGTATTCCATCTAGTGAGGTCCATGTGTATAATCACCGTTTATGCTATTGAAAATGGGTATTTGTAATGAGGAACTCATTGACTTTGAACTGTTTATCGTGCCGGTCCTCCTGGGGCCTACCCTTGAGCGGTGGTCTAAGGCCCCCGCCCCTCCAGCGCAGGTTCAATGGGCTGGCAGGGTGCAGCCTTGGAAACGGCCAAGCGTTCGGCGCTGCGAGCATTCTCGCGCTGCTGACGACTGTGAGGACACACAGAGACCACCATGGCTGAGCAGGTGGCCCTGAGCCGGACCGAGGTATGCGGGATCCTCCGGGAAGAACTGAACCAGCGCAGTGCCTTCCACAAGTATGAAACGCACATTTTCGTCACCATGGGCGCCTCGGGCGACTTGGCAAACAAGAAGATCTACCCCACGCTCTGGTGGCTGTTCCGAGATGGCCTTCTGCCCGATGCCACCTTCATCGTGGGCTTCGGCCGCTCTCACCTCTGCGTGGCCGACATCCGCAAACAGAGCGAGCCCTTCTTCAGAGCCACCCTAGAGGAGAAACGGAAGCTCGAGGAGTTCTTTGCCCACAACTCTTATGTGACCGGCCACTATGACAACCCTGCCTCCTACCAGCGCCTCCACAGCCACATGAACGCCCTCCATCATGGCTCCAAGGCCAACCACCTCTTCTACCTGGCCCTGCCCCCCACCGTCTACGAGGTCGTCACCAAGCACATCAGTGAGACCTGCATGAGCCCCACGGGCTGGAACCGCGTCGTCATGGAGAAGCCCTTCGGCAAGGACCTGGAGAGCTCTGACCGCCTGTCCAACCACATCGCCGCGCTGTTCCGGGAGGACCAGATCTACCGCATCGACCACTACCTGGGCAAGGAGATGGTCCAGAACCTCATGGTGCTGAGGTTTGCCAACAGGATCTTCGGTCCCATCTGGAACAGGGACAACATCGCCTGTGTGATCCTTACCTTCAAGGAGCCCTTTGGCACCGAGGGCCGCGCCCGCTACTTCGATGAGCTTGGAATAATCCGGGAAGTGATGCAAAACCACCTCCTTCAGATGCTGTGTCTGGTGGCCATGGAGAAGCCCGCCTCCACCGACTCGGACCACGTCAGGGACGAGAAGGTCAAGGTCTTGAAGTGCATCTCTGAAGCGAAGGCGGACGACGTGGTCCTGGGGCAGTATGTGGGGAACCCCAGAGGGCAAGGTGAGGCCAAGAACGGGTACCTGGACGACCCCACCGTGCCCCGCGACTCCACCACGGCCACCTTTGCTACCGTGGTCTTGTATGTCGAGAACGAGAGGTGGGACGGCGTGCCCTTCATCCTGCGCTGCGGCAAGGCCCTGAACGAGCTCAAGGCAGAGGTGCGCCTGCAGTTCCAAGACGTGGCCAGCGACATCTTCCTCCAGCAGTGCAAGCGCAACGAGCTGGTGATCCGCGTGCAGCCCAACGAGGCCGTGTACACCAAGCTGATGACCAAGAAGCCCGGCATGTTCTTCAACACCGAGGAGTCTGAGCTCGACCTCACCTACAGCAGCAGATATAGGAACGTGAAGCTTCCTGATGCCTACGAGCGCCTCATCCTGGACGTCTTCTGCGGGAGCCAGATGCACTTCGTGCGCAGTGACGAGCTCCGGGAGGCCTGGCGGATCTTCACCCCACTGCTGCACAAGCTTGAGCGCGAGAAGCCCAGGCCCATCTCCTACGCTTATGGCAGCCGCGGGCCCCCAGAGGCCGACGAGTTGATGAAAAAAGTCGGTTTCCAATATGAAGGCACCTATAAGTGGGTGAACCCCCACAAGCACTGAAGGCCTGCTCCCCACCCCTGCGCCTGTGCCTCCCTCGGTTCAATAGGACTTTGGGACCAGGCGACAACCCCACATTCCCCAACCCCTCGGCTCAGCCTTGAGCTCCCAGTATCTTCCAAAATTCAGGCTGTAGGCAAGGACCTTCCTGCGGGAGCCCCATCCATTGTTTCGGGCCCAGGACAGGATTCAAGATAGTGGGGGACACCAGCAGGAACCTACGGGCTTACCCATCTGGCCTCAGAAAGGAGGAGGGTCCCATCCCTGTGAACGTGGATTCCAAAGGCAGGAGAGAGTGCTGTGATACCAGTAGACGTTCCAGCACACTCCCATATCTCTGGCGCCTGAAGCCCCTCAGCCAACAGCTCCTCCCACCACCTCCGCAAGGAAGGCCAGCAGCCATCCTCCCACCACCCCCATCCTCTCCACCTCCCCCTGCCATTAAAGCCACATGCCACATGCCAAAAATATATATATATATCACGCAAACTCGGATGTAACTTTATTCCAGATAGAAATTTATTCAGATAGCCATTCTTCTATGTTTTCAGCTAAACATTCCAATCACCAGTAAACATAAACGTATTTTCATTACATATTTGATCAAGTTCAAACTGCAGGCATTGATAACCATCTTTAGTGTCTTCATCTTTTCCATTATTGTTACTTGACTAACTTAAATAATAGTCTATGACTAACTTAAATAATAGTCATTAGTCGGGGCTATTTGTAAGCATTTGGATATTAGTTTAACAGTGACAGCTTTTGTACTTCAGTATAGATCATGAAATGTTACTTTTGGTGATGAACATCATTCCCATAGTAGATCATATGTTGGTCCAATTAAACAGGATTATTAATAGTTCATCTCATCTTGCTAATGCCTAAGAAAATAATGTTTATATTTAAATTTTTATTTTTAGATGACTCCCAATATTCCTAGATACCACAAGTTCAATACTAGGCCACAACTTCAGACTCACACAGCCACATGCAATGATGCAGAATGCAGGAAGATCACAGCCTGGTGGGTACAAAATTGTGTGGATCCAATGGTGGTGGAGGTATCTCCAGGGCCCTGGCAGGTTCCAGAGTGGCTCTGCAGCGGAAAGGTGCAGTCAGAGAAAGGGGTGGGGTGAGGGGATTCCCAGGACCCTCCTTATAAGTTCACTCCCACAATGAGATGCCCTCAGATTGTTACCTGATTGACTAGACTCCACCCCTACTCTTTTATATATCTTCAAGTTCACGTGAAATTATGTAACTACCACAGGTGGAATATGCCCAAGGTTGTATTTTGGCTCTCCTGGACTTGTTTTAATTTTCTTCAGTCTCAACTGGAGCTATATGAGCAATTAATGATCTGTGCACCAGTCAGCCCTTGGCCTCGGTTTTTGCTGTTGATATTCAGAGTCTCCATTGCCTCTTCCAGCAGATGTAGGCAACTTGATTTCTGTGTATTCTATACAGAGAAATCCATGTGTGTAGTTGCCTTTTGTGTTGCTGAAAAAAAGGTATTTGCTATGAACAAATAATTGATTTTGCAAAATTCTATCACATGGCATCCAGGTTCATTTTTATCACCAAGATATATTCCAACTATCCATTCCTCTTTGTTTCCAAAATTTGCATTAAAATTTCCAATGATGACCAAGGCACACTGATTACATATTTGATCAATTTCAAACTGGAAACATTGTGCTTAGTGCATAGATTTGAATAACAGTTGTATTGCTTGGATTTTTTTCAAGGTGAGTAGATATAATCCGATCACAGAAAGCACTGTATTTCAAAACAGATCTTGAAATATCCCTTTTAATAATGACTGCAATGCCATTCCCCGATTGTGACATCATAGTCAGAGCAAACTATGATGATCTAATTCAAAATGGCTGATAGCAGTCCATTTCAGCTTACTGATACCCAACACATCGATTTATAATTGTTCCATTTTATTTTTGATGACTTTGAATTTTCTTAAAATCATATTAGTACATTCCTAGTCTGATTATTAGTAGGTCTTTCCAGCTATTTCTTCTCATTTTGAATTGTGCCCCATCAGCAAATGAAGTTCCTGAAGGCTTTACTTTCACAACATTACACCATTCACTTCAATAGTGACTCTACTTTGAAACTGCAGCTCCTTCTCAGTCACATTTTGAGTAATGCCTTCCAACTCAAGGGCCCCTTCCTCTGGTACTCATAGTATTCTGTAGCTCTCCATTATACCCCAAGATCTGACGATGTTTCAAGTCTATGGATACCTTCACATCCTTCTTTGTAGTCGTTTAATTTTTCATTGCTTCCAGCACCACTTGTCAAATAGGACAACTGAGGTAGTTAGTTTATTGTGCCAACCTGGTCGATAAACAAATGTGGGATTAATTGAAGGGTGGAGAGATAAATGGTTCCGTAAGCCTCACCCTTCTTGTCTCTTGCTCTTTCTTTTTTTTCTTTTTTAACATTTTATTAGGGGCTCATACAACTGTTATCCCAATCCATACACACATCAATTGTGTAAAGCACATTTGTACATCGTTT